CAAAGCCCCAGCAGATAGTTGTATGTCATAGTTGCACATCTTTCTAGTTGCTGTATGTGGGACGCGGCCTCAGCATGGCCCGAGAAGCGGTGCGTTGCTGCGCGCCCGGGATCCGAACCCGGGCTGCCAGTAGCGGAGCTTGGGCATGCAACCGCTAAGCCACGGGGCTGGCCCTGGGGAAGACTTAAAATTTTTATTTGCCTTAGACAAGGAGGCTGTGAATTAGACTTGGGGTGAAAGAGCCTCTCTAGCAGCCTGCATTTAAAATGAAACATTTTTCCCTCTTTTTAACTTCAGACTTGACTGATTAAGCTAGCCAATTGCCTAGATCTCAGGCAATTGTGGGCTGGTATCTTCTGGGGTGTTTACATTCAAAGACGCGGTAAAATTGACAACTTTAAAGGACAGAGAGGAAAAAAATGCAAGTTGTTTTTTCCTAGGAGTTTCAGGGTAATTTTTCCTTCAGTCTTAGGAGTTGGAGCTGATCTAAATAAGAGTTCTCAGAAAGGTTACAAGCGTTTTGAGATAAATTGGGGAGGTTTTGGGATTGGTGGAAGGGAATGGGTGGAATCGGAGCTGGCTTTAGAGCTGCATTTTCAGTTTTGCAAAGATTTGTAAGATGAGGACGGTTGCTCTCATTTCCTCAGAAATTGGGTTGTAACTTAAATGATATTATAGGTTGATCTACTCATCCAGTTACATTATCCCTAATTTGTTTCTTTTCCTCTGGGTACATAGTTTGATTTTAACTTAGGGAAGAAGGCCTATAAAAAAAAAAAATTGGTATCAGGCTCTAAATATCAGCTTTCAATTTGGCCAATTTTTGACCATAGAACTACTGAAAAAAAATCCTTCTAAATATCTTGTCGGTTTTCAGCTGGGACAAAGAGTTAATATTTCTGGCAGCGTTAAACAACTCCATGGACCTAAGAGGTGTCCCTAAAGTTTATTACCTTCCAAAGATCCAGCACCATTCCCAAAGATAACCAAAAGAAAGGACTGACAGCCTACTTGTCCCAGGCAGGCAGAAAGTTAAGTCAAGCAGACACGAAACGAGACAAGCAGGAAGGCAATAGTTACCCCTGGGAGAGAAAGAGTCAATAACCAGTGGGTCTGGATTAGAAAGGAAGGGACAACATGAAATTTTATTCTCGTCTCTTGATGGGGCTTTACAGAGTGGCCATTGAGTAGAGGTAAAAGGGCTGTTGTCCAGGGGGCATGAATTCCCTGCGAAGGGGTTCTAGGATAAATCTGCAAAGGATATTGCGCAGGAAGGCCTGAAGCTGGCAGAACCTAATAGTAGAGCCCAGCAAAGCGAGCTTTACTGCCTGTCCCAGGTGCTTCTGTTAAAGTCATTTTCTGGCCTTCAGCATTTACATAAGTAACCTGTATACTCCTGGAGATTAGGCTGGGTGCTGTCTGTAAATCGGGAAGGAAAAGGAAGCTAAAACAGGCAAGTGGGGCCGGATTTTAAGAAAGAGCCTTGGGCCGGCCCCGTGGCTTAGCGGTTAAGTGCGCATGCTCCGCTACTGGCCGCCCGAACCCCGGGCACGCACCGGCGCACCGCTTCTCCGGCCATGCTGAGGCTGCACTTCACATACAGCAACTAGGAGGATGTGCAACTATGACATACAACTATCTACTGGGGCTTTGGGGGGAAAACAAAAAAAACGAGGAGGATTGGCAATAGATGTTAGCTCAGAGCCGGTCTTCCTCAGCAAAAAGAGGAGGATTAGCATGGATGTTAGCTCAGGGCTGATCTTCCTCACACACACAAAAAAGAGCCTTTATGTTGGATTTTTGTAGTAAGTCTAAATTTTTTGTTCTCTCATCTTGTTAGGCAGCCCCTAATTCTAGCTGTTAAATTATATAATTTTCCTTTTTCTTCTTAAGTGCTGGACAATTGTACTTCCCATATCCTGATTTTTATTTATTTATTTTTATTTTTTTTTTACAATAGCTGCAAATGTCTGAAGGCAAATAAGGGGTCTGAGTGGGCTTTGATTTTTGTTCTGTCTTTCCTTCATATTAAGGGAGTCTCAATGGCTAGCCGTTATACCAATATGAGTGCTCTCTGAAAAAATTCTTTTTCCAACTTAGTTTTTCTAGTTTAAAGGATCCATTGTCTGGCCATTGATGAGTAGGATTAGGATCTTAGCAGTGACCCAAACCAATAAGCCTTTTTATGGCTTAACCATGGACACAAGAGGTGTCCCTGAAGGAGAGTACAAAGGATGTTGTCCTCACCAGATCCAAAAAGTTCACTGCCAGAGTTAGCCTAGGAACTATGAGGTGCCCTGTTCTAAGCAGCTGTTCCAAAATACAGGAAAGTACATTTTCCCCTTTTTGAACAGAATAGGATGTTGAGAGTCCCTGAGCTCAGATCCACAGCCTGCTTGGCTGCCTGCCAGATGCATGTGCGTCCTCCAGCTGTGGAGACCAAGGCCCATCTCTGGAGGAGAGGATCAGCAAAATCAAGAGTACTCGTCCAAGAAACTAGTTTCACAAATATTTTCTCCTGCTAATCTAAATCTACAGACAGAGGGCTGGCCCCGTGGCTTAGTGGTTAAGTGCGTGCGCTCTGCTGCTGGCGGCCCAGGTTCGGATCCCGGGCGCGCACCGATGGCACAGCTTCTCCAGCCATGCTGAGGCCGCGTCCCACATACAGCAACTAGAAGGATGTGCAGCTGTGACATACAACTATCTACTGGGGCTTTGCGGGGGGAAAGAAAATTAAATCTACAGACAGAAAAACTCGCACCACTTTTGTTCCCATCAGATTCTGCAGACAGAGATCTGGGAGGCTAACAAGGTGAGAAGGCTTACTTTTTTGCCAGCTTGTGTAGATGTCCAGGATCTCTTAGCTGCAGCAAGCCTCAGGGAGAAAGCAGTTTCCCAGCCAGTGAGTCTCCTGGCTGGCTCACCAAAACTGTCAGGGTGGGAGAAGTTCCCCCCTTCTACCCTTCTTGTGTTCTTATGGCTAGACTAGTAATAAAATTGACACAAGACCAGATTAACAGGAGAAAAACCCAGTTTAATAGGTACGTATTGGAGATAATAGAACAATGATGCTCGGCGAGTGAACAAAGCAGGCAGTATATATATATTTTACACAAAGAAACAATAAAGCTGTGAGGCATGACAGGACAAAGAAACTAAGGTTTGAGGTATGTAATTTGTGAGGAATTTAAGCAGAGTTTAGGTTTGAGGTAGTAAATTAGCAAGATTTGTTTATATAAGTTTCTCAGCCCTGAATTCGTAGCTCTGGTGATAAGGATGCGGGGAGAGCACCTTTCGTGTGGGAGATTTCAGAGGGAACAGAGACAGGAGGGTCAGAGTGCCCTCTTTGCTTTTCAAGTAACTTTAATTCAAAATAATCATATGCTATTGTGGGATGTTTTGGGGTAGCCTGCCCTGGGCCCCAACAGTAGAAATAGTGAAATCCCATAGCATTTAACATAGCAAAGGGGAGCCCACACAGGAGAGGTTCTGGAAAGATGAGTTGATGGTTCTGCAAAAATAGTTTAACAAAAAGTTTCTTCAGATACAAGGCCAAGGATGCAGTGACTCCCCTAGACGCACATCCCCTGAGGTGTGTTCCTACAGGTGAACTCAAAAGGGGGGCTGTCAAGGTTCCGTCGCCATAAAACATCTCCCTTCAATATCTTGTTGCCATTGCCTTCAATTCCTTGTTGAAGTTTAATTTCCCTGGGTGAGAGCTTTGTCCCCTGCTGTAACAGGGAAAAAGAGGGGAGACACTGATTGTTGCAGTTATTAGTGCTTTAGTGTAAATTGGCAGCTGAGATCCTTTCCAGCTAGGACAGGAGAAGCCAAGGAAACAATGGAGAGGAATCAGGGCCGTTGTCCCCACCTCACTTTTCTTAGGGCCATACTGTGGGGGGAGAGGGGGAAATGGAGGCTAATTACATAGTTCAAAACAAAATCTTATTTCAAGAGAAGAACTACACTCTTCTAAGTGTTTTCTTTGAACAGTTAGTCACCCCTGCCATCTGCCAGACTTCTAGTAACAGAACAGTGCAAAAGGATCTAGCCATTGTATCTTAGCTGAAGCAGCTTTGTCACTGAGAAGATGCAACACAAGGCATTCTTGACTGTTCAGTTGTCAGAAGAAAGATCTTCTAAGGGATGAGGTCATCCTGCAGGCAGTGCTCAATCTAGAATTGAGCCCTGCAACTCAGGCGCAGCAGGTGGTAATATATGTACGAAGGTAATTGATTTTTTTTTTTTTTTTTTTTTCCGTAACCAAGCCCATGACTTGTACATCTGCTGCTTCCCTCAGTTGATGGTAATGGCAGCTGAGCAGCCTGCCCTGGACTGGAAATACAATACGTTGAGTTAAACTGTTCTTGCCATTTAAATTTCAATAATGTGTTTCCTATTGTGAATTTGTGTAACTAGAATGTTTTCTTATCTCTTCTTTGACTAGAAGAAATAATGATGGGTCTTGAGTGGAATCTTGATTAGCACACAAGACTATATCTTCAACTTCCTTACTTATTGTTCTTCTCTTTAAAATATGAATTTAAAACTCTACAATCTTTAAATCAACTAAAGTTGATAATCAACTTAAGGAGTACAGTAAATCTATTCTCTTCAAAGTACACACAATTTAGACCACTGTGGCTCTATTGAGAGAGTTACAAAAGAGAGAGAGTTACAAAAGTTACTGATGCCACAGAGAGTTATAAAATTGGGTTCAGAGAGGCAGCTTACTACGGAACAACTAAAGTAGGACAAACATTTTATAAAAAAAGCTTTTTTCCTGCATTTTAAGGTATGCTTTCCTATTTCTTTTAAGTGTGCTTTTCTGCTATAGCAGAGCTTCAGTGATGCTTTGTGGGAAGAGGCAGGGCATGACTAGAAGCTGCCTTGAACTGCCTCTCACCCTGCCACCTCGCCTGCCACCATAGTGTATCCCTTTGGTGTGACGTGGTGTTCTGTTTGTTGTGTTTTGTCTGTCTGTTTTGGGAACGGTCTAGGGTGACCTCACCCTGCCTGGGTCACCCCAACTCAGCCCAACTGTGCCTGATGATGTGTTCACACTTCATCCATCCAATCCAGAGATTGTGTTTAGTTCACTTTTTAAAGAAGTCGAAGAAACATCTGGGAGTTTTTCATCTGTGAATCTTAGCTTCCCATCAGGTGAACTTATCCAAGAAAATAAAGACCAGACTGTCATTAGAAACAAGCATGAAATTGAAGACAGTTGTGAAACTCAAAGTCAGCCGTTACCCAGTGAACAGGACGTTGGCCTGGACTTACACAGCAGCAGTTGGTCAAATTCCCATTCACGTGGTGATGCTGGTGATACTGGTGACGCTGACTCAGTCCAGCCCTCTCTTGAGAAATCAAACTCCTTGCCTCTGGCATCCATAACTCCCATGACATCAATGACCTCTGTTTCAGAGTGTTCTGGAATTGTGCCTCAACTACAGTAAGTTATTGGGTTTTTTTTAAATGAGTGATGCTTCTGGTTACACGTTTTATATTCCTGAATGTGATGACAACTAATTTCAGAATAATAGTGTAAGAAATAGAATTTCAGATTTCATTATTCTTGGTTTTATCAGTTCTTAGTGGATTATAGCTTTAGACAGTTTGGTTATCTGTAAAACGAAGCACTAACTCTTGATCTCTTAAGAGGCAGTTAAGAGTATACACGTTCTTGAAGAATTGTATTTATACTAAAGCACTGTAGTTGCTGAAAATTGTGGTTTGGGTTGGATAAACACAATATAAAGATGTAAAATTGAATTCGATTTGCAAATTGGCATTGTGCTTTGTGTTTTTGAGGCATAATTTTGAAAAAGATTTAAAACTTAATTTTAGTCAGCTAGTCATGAAATTTTAGGAACAGCTGTTTTAGTACTTCACTTTGGGATTTTTACATTTTACTAGGGACCGTGTTACTATGTATGTCACATTTAGAATAATTCTCCTCCTAGGAGTTCTCTAATAAACAACCTAAGGAATGAGGAAGTTAACGTTTTAATTCTTTTTCACTTTTTATATCTGATATAGTTTTCTAAATTGACTTATTTCTTTAGGAATGTAGTTTCCACTGTAAACGTGGCTTGTAAACTGGATCTGAGGAAAATAGCTTTGCATGCAAGAAATGTAGAATATAATCCAAAGGTAAGATTTCTCAGTATGCCTGTCAACAATTAGCTTCTATTTAGATTTACTTGCCTTCATGCGATCATGATATTGACTTATTCCTTTGTTTTCATTTTTGAAAAAGGAAAAACTTGTTAGTGAAAAGCTTTTGGCAACTCGAAAGGTTAATTGCCTCACTCTGTTTTGAAGTTTTGAAAAATACTCGCACTCTCCGTGCTGAATAAAGCAGTGACTGAGCAGCTCCTAAAATGAAGATCTTTCCCTTGTCATCCAAAAAGAATTTTCCATATGACAATTTTCAGCCTGACTATGGAGATGCTAACTTTCTTCAAATGTTGTCATGTTTCTGGAAATAATTTTTTCTAAATGTTGTCCCACCTAGCTGACACTTTTTTCTATTTACAGTTTCTCTTATTTGAGAAAGCTAAATTGTTTAGTGTAAAGATCAAGCTTATACTTACTAATATAAGAGTCAGGGATTTTTTTTCCCTCAATTTAATAAAATTGAGTCTGTCTTGTGTCTTGCCAAGGCTAGGCGTCCCATTTTCAATGGCCTATTTACCTAGGAAGTAGATTTGGTAATTTGATCAACATTTAATGATTTGGTGGGCTCTGTGCTTAGGAATACAAAGATGAGTAAGGCATGGTCCTTCCTGGGAAAAGTTTACTGTCTTGGGTGGTGGAGAATTTACGGAGTTAGATAAGAAAGATCATATTAGTAGCCACCCAGAGGACCTTGCCAGTATCACCTGTTTTTGGGTTAAGTATTTGTTTTTCCTGATGTGGTAGTGTTGTTACTGACATCTGAATTTAAATAGTACCTGAACGTTACCCAAATGCAGTGTGGCTTTCCTTTTCATATTTCGTGTAGCTGGCTATGATGAGAACAGGAACACAGTGATGAGCTAAGATTCTAATGGCTGCAGCAATGATTGACCACACTATGGAGCAATCTGCATTTTTAAGTTTATTTTATTCTACATCATCCTCAGCTCTCCCCTCATTTTATTTCGGTGTTCAGGGTATGTCCAAACTTGAACTTGACAGCCAAAGAAATTCTGGCTCAGCACTTAACGTACCTTAAGAATTTAACAAAGTGAGTACCGGGTGAGAATGCTACCTTTTTAGTAAACACCTGGAAAACATAATAGGACTTGACCAACTCTGTGTAGGTTCTTTTACTGTCTGTCAACACTTCAACTCTGAAATTGCCAGTCTGGCCTTGGAGTGATCTATGGTCCTGTGGAGTAACTTTGAGTCTTGTAGTCTTGCAGAGTCCCCACCCCAGTTTCCATCCCAGCTTTATGGAGGCAAGAAGAGAAGGGAAAGGAAGTATCTGTGTAGGCCAAGTAGGAGGAGGAGGTCATTTAGTGACATGTCAGTGTGGCGGGCCAGTAGTTCTCAGCCCTTCCCTGCATCAGCACCACCTGGAGGGCTTGCCGATGCCGATGCTGCTGGTCTGAGGACCACACTTGGAAAACTATGGCGGGCAAGAACTTAACAAATCAACTTTTTGTCATTCATCGTCAGCATGACTATCAATATATATATTCTATATCTTGGCTGCTTTTTAGTACATTCTAGAGTCTTGGTGAGCTTGTAACATACTTGATACTTTCTCTTTGAAAGAGAAAGGAAGTATTTCAAAGTAAAAAGCACCGAGTTGGACTAGTGGTGGTTTTAAATCTCAACTTTACTATTTCCCGTGTAGTGTGAGAAGTTCAATAACTGCTTGGTTTCCCTGTGCACTAAATGGGAATAATAATGGACTCAACTTAGTCCTGGCATGAGGATAAATGAGAGAAAACCCGTAAAGCCCTTAGCTTAGGGCCTGAAATGTAAAGACACTCATATTTTAGCTTTACTGTTATTATTCTTGCCTGTTTTTTCTAAGTATATTTTAGAATCGTAATCCTTTTTGTTAGTTAATCTTGATGTGGGGGAATGGACCCAGACACTTTTTAGTTTTCCCATCCAGTTTCAGTTTATTCAAGACCATTTTCTTGTCCAGCTCAGCTTTTCAGCTAGAATAGTGTTAACTCCTGGCAGCGGCTAATTGTCTTTTTGGCTTCTGTGTGCAGAGATTTGCTGCTGTCATAATGAGGATCCGCGAGCCCAGGACAACAGCCCTCATATTTAGCTCTGGAAAAATAGTCTGTACAGGAGCCAGAAGGTACGAGGAACCAGCCTCCACCACTACCAGACAAATAATTCAGTATGTAAAACAAGGCAAGATAGCATTAATGTTCTAAAACACATAGTAGAAGCAAAATATTTTTCTTTGCTGAAGAGTTAAATTCATGAAATGCCAAATTTTGGGTTAAAAACATTCAGCCTTATAATACTTATATCCTACTTTACAGTTCCCCCCTGTTAAACTGAGGAGGCTTCACTAAGCTGTTACAACTTGTTTTTAAGGTGCATTAAAAAAAAAGAGCTACAGTAGGGATAAAGCCTCTTATGAACCTGGGGAAGTAGTTTTTGCGTAGTTTCCTTATTGCGGATAAATAGATAAAACTTTTTGAAGGAGGGAAGTTAGACGTTTCTTGGCTATTAGTTTGAGCAGTAGCTCAGGAGGCATCTGGTAGGAGGCACCTCTTTCCCGGCTCTCCTGCAGAGGGAGCCCGTGCTGATGTAGGTCCCTGCACCTAACCCGGCAGAGGAAGAGCTGCTCCTGCCTCGAGGTGTCACAAGATGAGAAGCCAACTGTCCTCCTGAAAGGTTACACCATTTCCTCTTGCCCTAGAGCTGTACTGCGTGTTCATTTTCTCTGAACACTGGGTGTTAATATTTTTTATATTTGTCAACTTAATTAGCAAAAAAGTTACGTTGTTTTAATTACCTATCTTTGATTTACTAGTGACTCGAACTTTTCATAAGCACATACACTGCCTACTGTGTCTTTTTGCCTAATAATCTATGGAGATACTTGTCTTTTAGTATTTTTCATCATTTTGTCTTGTAAATATTTTTTCCCAGATTAATGTTAATAGTGTTTTATGGGTTTTTCTACACAATTAAAATTTTTTGTGTATCCTCTATCCAATTTTTTCCTTTATGCTTGCTACATTTGGCTTCATCGCTTAGGAAGGTGTTCTCCATGCATAACGTTACATAAACATTGACCTCCATATATTTTTCTGGCCTTTTTTAGGTCCTGCTTTGTATTGAAGAAAGGAAGTTGGTGTTTTGATTCATCTAGAGCTTTCTCTAGATGATGGAAAAGTGCTATATCTGTGCTGTCCATTGTGGTAGCACTAGTCATGTGTGACTACTGAGCACAAATAGAGCTAATACCACAGAGGAACTGAATATTTCATTTTAATTAAATTTAAATAGCCACATGTGGCCAGTGGCTATAATATTGGGCAGAGCAGGTCTAGAATTTTATTTTGATGTAAGAGAAATAATTTTTTTTCAAATGGCCAGTCAATGCCCCGATACATTTATTGAAGAATCTATTCTTACTCCATTTTTTCCCCGACCTGTTTTTACATGTTAATTTCTTTACATGTGTCAGAGTAAATTTCTGGGCTCTTCTGTTGGTCTGTGTATCCTTTGACCTAGAAATCTCCATTTTTAAGTCATTATTGGACAACTCTGCAAGATATCTGCAGGGATGTTCATTTCAGCATTGTTTAAAATGGGGAAAACAAATATCTAGTAACAGATTTTTGATTAGATCATAAAATAAAATTGTGTTTAGCCATTAAAACACACACTGAGTTGGAAGGATGGTCACATCATGTTAAGTTTGGAGGGGGCAGGCAATTAAATTGTAGCTTTATGATTCAACTTTCACTTCAAAATATGCTCATATTACATACACATTCATGGGTATCTTTCCCTATCTGAATTTGTTTCCTAAGATCTGATACTGAAGCTGGGATAGTGAGTTCAGATAATAAGCGATAACAAGTACTTGGTTCTTGTTTTGGAGAGGTGTGAAAGTTTGGTTAGTGTAAGAGATGTTAGAATTATCTCAATTTACCCAAACCTATTCTCTTTAGGTGTAACAACCAGAGTTTGCATAGCGAGGGATACCTGTGTTTGCATAGGAAAAGTACAGAAGGGTCAAATTTATCAGTGGGTATCATCACTGGTGGTGACATTTCAAGGTTCTTAATCTGTTTTCTAATGTCTGTACAAGAGCATGTACGTAGACTTGGTTATTTGTTTGAATGGGAATTTCTGTGTGATAGTCACAGCTAATACCCCAAGAAACTACAGGGCTATGCAAACTCTTGAAATTTGACCTTATAAACACTAGCACTATGGGAAATGTAATGGGTCATTTAGGTGAAATGTTTTTCAAAATAGAAACAGTTTATTTCATTGCTAACTTGGGGACATGGTCTTGCTGGGGACATTTCCGGAGTTAGAAATGGATGAGGAGATGCAACGTGAAGTGAGGTGAAGTATGTGAAGTAATGAAGACGCGTAAGAGGGGGCAGTGTTGAGAAGGATCTAGATAGGGAAGGGAATCAGCTGCTTCCTTTGGTCCAGGCAAACAACAATTTCAATCTGGCTTACCGGTCAGCTGCTTCTGATTTTCAACTTAAAGATGGGGACAACCCGTGAGAGAGGGCCGAGTTCACATGATTTCCCTGCCCTGTTTGGCAGCCCCTATTACTCATTGTTTTGTTTTGGCAGTGACCATTGAAAAGTATCGAATGAAAAATAAACCTCAAATCTCAGGACTTCACATTCTCTGACATGGATTAGGGCGGGAGTAGGACAAACACTTAGAACATGGCGACAAAGTCAGAAGAATTTCTTTCTTTCACGTATTGGATATGAGTTGAATGACAATTGTGTGAGAAAGCCTGAGCAAAATTGGGCAGGTTTTGAAATATATTTTAATTTGGGGTTTTTTTTCACAATTTGTCCCATGAACACCCAAGTCCTGACATCCTGTCTATGCTACTCAGTTGGCACATATCTTACTTCCTCATGGTGAGTTTTTCTGTATGCGTGTGTCCTGATTTCTCTTGCTACTGTTCTCATCTAAATGACACACACTTTTAGACCAGACACATCAATCGTTGCGTCTTGATTGCGCATCAATCGTTGGAGGGCTTGTTAAAACACAGATGGCTGGGCCCCACCCCCAGAGTGCCTGCACATCTAAGGTGGGACCTGGGACTTTGCATTTCTAACAAGTTCTCAGGTGGTGATGCTGCTGCTGGTCTGAGCACACACTTGGAGAACCAGTGGAATAGTTAATTTTATCTATTAGCACTTAAAACAAGTAAAAGAAAAAAATACGTTGTATATGAGAGATGACAAAACAAATCTGTTTATGATTCAGTTCAACAACTGTATGTTGTACAAGGTGCTAGGGACAAAAGTAGAGGAGGAAGGTCCTTGTCCTCCAAATCTACACCTTAGTGTACACTGAAAGATAAGCATGGTACAGATGCTCAGCATGCAATCAGAAGTGTGTGAATACAGCCCAAGTAGTACAGAGGACATAGTGATGAAGACTTCTTTAAATACTTTTGCCCCTCCCCAGTGAAGAGCAGTCTCAACTTGCAGCGAGAAAGTTTGCTCGTGTGATACAGAAGCTTGGGTTCCCTGCCAGATTCCTCAATTTTAAAATTCAGAACCTGGTTGGAAGCTGTGATGTGAGATTTCCCATCAGGCTGGAAGGTTTGGTGCTAACCCATCAGCAGTTCAGTAGGTATGATTGTTATATAGCTTAACTTTGAGTTTACCAAGATAATTAAAGTTGTATTATGGGCTGCTTATATTATGTATCTTTCAGAGAAAATGTAATTTTTTTAAAGGCACAGCAGGTGAAAGGGTTAAAATGTTATGCCTAAGTCCTCATTGATGACCATATGTGTCCAATTGTTTGAAATAGTGGTTCTCAAAATTAAATTGCATAGTAATACACCTGGACAGCTTGTTAAACAATTCCTGCCTAGGCTGCATCACCGATGACTTGGCTTGAATTTGCATTTCTCACAAGCTCGCAGGTGATGCCAATGCTGCTGGCCAGAGGCCCACAGTTGAGACCCACTGATGTGTAGATTTCTAAAACAGGCACACCTGGCTTGGGGGTAGTGGCAGTGGTGGGAAAGAAGGGGTGTGAGACGGGGTAGGCAAGTTTGAAGGAGCTGACAGCTGGTGAGAAGAGAAATGGTTGGAGAGAAGATGACAAAGAATGGCCACAGCACATTCTGTGAAGGCAATTCTATCTAGTTTTTGTCCTGCTGAGTTTGTCTGAGGGTTTTCTTTTTGTCTGTGTAGCTGTATCCCCCACCACAATTTCTTCTTTAGCATATTTATGTTCCTTGGGGGAGTATCTCCAGCCTGCCTGGCTTCTTCAAATGTCACTTCCCATCCCAACAGCCAGTGCTCCTTGTCTTCCTCCGTCAGCTGCTGTGGTGCTCAGGCCCTTGGAGAGCAGTGATGGAGGTTGACTGATCAACACCAAATCTCACCACTCCTTGGGATATACACTTGGGCCAAGGTGCTTGAACTGGCTTAGAATCACAGATGCTCTTAAATTCTCTTGATCTAGCTTGAACTTAACTCCTTTCACTCAACACTTTTCCTTCTCTTTGCCTTTGAGCAATCATTCTGTTTAATAGAGTGGATAGGGAATCATAGCTGTGCTTTAACACATGATCTGAACAGAAGTTTAAAATTGTTTTGTCTTTTCCTAACTTTTTAAAAATTTTAGTTCATTCTGAGATTCAGCTTTTATGATATTCATCATGCAGTGTTTATTTTCCCCTTGATTGTATGTTTTTTTCCTCTGCATCAATTTTTTTTCGACATATGCTTATTGAGTGCCCATCAAGTAACCATTGAGTTCATTCAGTAGGAAGCCCCCCATGCGAGACATATTGCCTCTTTATGTATCTCTCTCTCTGTTAAATCATGGCATAACTTGTAGATTCGTTGTAAAACCTTTAAGACTCTCAACACATGAGCCATCTCATCTTCAGATTCTCAACCATGGGCCTCCATCTATCTTTCTCTGAACCAACTTTTTCTGAACATATGAGAGATCTCTGCCTGAAATCTAAGGTACATGGCGATACTAGACTTAGCATTCCCCTGTCCGGCCATTTAGGGCTCTAAAATGATGTGTGAATTCCTCCCAAGTGTCATTTCATTTCTTTTTCACCAACATTGTCTTCTTTGCAGATCAGATTTAAATCAACAGTAGGAGGGCCTCTTGTCACTACTTCTGCTTTCTAGAAGATATACTTGCCAGTAGGGCAAGATGAGAATTCATCAGATACACTGCTTTTAGCCACTTGGTGTGGGCCCATCATGGGTCGTTCTTCTGAGCCAATTTTATGATCTCATCCACCTTTTTAAATTTGGCCAGAAAGCTTTCTTTGTGTTCTCACAGCTGTCTCATTCTAGTCTCTTTCTTGCCTCTCACAAATGCTCTCCGCTTTGGCCTCCATCCTTAGGTTATGGATTACAACTCCGGTGTAGGAATTCGTGACATGAGGGTGTTAAAGCACCTCTTTCTCAACAAGTTTTATCTTTAAAGTGAGGCCTCTCTTTAATTGTCTGTAGCCCTGTGGGGGCCATGGCACACATCAGCTATAATTATCAGGTCAAGTTTGCCTTACGTTAAAACCTCAAGTTCATTTAATTTCCCAGGTTTTACAAATATGTATTATCAGCATCTGATAATATAAATATCTTCTTTGTTACTGGGCGTCTTCTCCATCAATCTTGCCGTGCCATAATTGTCTTCAGTTTTCCCTGAGCATTTTTCTCCCTTCTCTTCAAGTTTAAAATCAAAGATACCCTGATAATAAATATTTCTTAAATGAGTAAAATCTATGTGGCTACTGTGTAGCAGATGTGACAGTGACAGTCAAGACAGCCATGGTCCCATGCCCTCATGGAATTCACTGTCTAAAAGACAAGCCAAAAGCAATAATGAAATATGGTAAGTATGAAGGTGAACACCCCTTGGAGTGCTATGGTACCATCAAGCAGGATAGATACTTAATGTAATGGGGGAGGTGTGGAGGTCAAGGAAGACTTCTTCAGGGAAGTGACATGTAAGCTGAGACTTGAACGATGAGTCAAAGTTGGGTTGGCCAAGAGACTGGCAGGTGTTTGTTATTCTCCATCCTCGTGAAGTGTTCTCCATCCCTAACCAAAACTTCCCTTTTTTTCCCCCTGCTTAAAACTGCTTTTGAAATGAGACAGAGAAGAAATAAAATGAAGTAAATCTCTAATCAGGAGATTATGCTGGTACCATAAAACCATGGTTCTGAAAGCCAAATGCAGTTCACCATCATTTACATACTTTTGTTTTCTCTTTTCCCTCTTAGAGTCCTAAGATTCAGTTGGAAGATCAAATGGAAACATTCCTTCTGTGCCTCCAGCCTTCACTTTCTTGGCTCAAACCTCATAGTTCCCAGAGGGGTTTTCCAGCGCTCCAGCTAGTATTGTGTCTCCCCAGTGTCAGGAAGTGGCTAGTGGGTAGAAGTCTTGACTTGATAGAGTGATGTCCCAGAAAGACAGGTCCACCTACAGCGATCTCCATGTGCTTGAGAACGGGAGCCTCACCATTGTGATGCATCTCTCGGGTGCCAATAAGAGGTTTTACATCTGCTGTTGCATGGGTCTTATTCATTGCAGAATGGAATGGAGTTTTTCCCTGTGGTCTGGATTCACCCTTTAAGGGCAGAGATTCATGTGTATTAGTGTTCCATTTCTCAGATGACTTCTTTTTCTTATCTGTTCATTAGCTTTTTTTTTTTTTTTTTTTTGAGAATAGTTTTATTTTATCAGCTTCCTCTTACCTCCTGACTTCTTTTTTGTAGGCTCCTCTTGCCTGTCTAGTTCTCTCTCCCCTTCTCATGGTCGAGTGTGGTAGAAGCAGTTTTTAACCCTGTCATCTTTTGTTCCATGGAGAAGCCAGCTTCCATTTAGTAGTAAATATGAGTTACTACTTATAGGAACAAATTCTGAATTTTAAAACTTGGGATAATTTAGTTTTCTTTATACAGTACCTGTCCAAAGACAAATAAGTGGTCTAGAAAATTGTTTAGGTTGTATCTGCTAAAAATCTTTAGCAGTTTATAAATGCATATAAAATGTGCTTATTATTGGGGAACTTGGAAAATTTAGAAAATGTGTTTATGTATTTTTACTGATAGACTTTTTTGAAAGATGCAGCCCATTTAACCAACAAGATCTTAATACATTAAATCTCATGGCTGGGGCCAGCCCCGTGGCTTAGTGGTTAAGTGCGCGTGCTCCGCTACTGGTGGCCCGGGTTCAGATCCCGGGCGCGCACCGACACACTGTTTGTCTGGCCATGCTGAGGCCGCGTCCTGCATGCAGCAACTAGAAGGATGTGCAACTATGACATACAACTATCTACTGGGGCTTTGGGGGAAAAAAGGAGGAGGATTGGCAATACATGTTAGCTCAGGGCTGGTCTTCCTCAGCAAAAAGAGGAGAATTGGCATGGATGTTAGCTCAGGCCTGATCGTCCTCACAAAAAAAAAAAAAACTCATGCCTAAGTTTCTAATAGCTTAGGATGACTTGCACTTGAAAAAAATCTTATAATCACAAGTGAATTTTCTTTTGACTGCCACAAGAAACTACCCAGGACACTCAAGACTACTTTTATCAAGATGGCCAGAAGGTTTTTGGTAAAATAGCTTTTTTTTTTTTTTTTTAA